ATCCGTAAGACTTGAAAAAATCCACGAGATTGCTCTATATGTCCGTATACCTGCAAAATGACTTCTGAAATGAAATCTTTATGAATCAATTGGGTTGTTACCGACATCTGGTAAAAATTTTATGTCATTAGCACCTCTAGTAATATATTTACTGAGAAAAATGATGACGTGTTCAATGCTTATTTTACCCTCTGTATATAAAAACCCTGCAGTAAAAAAGGAGAAACTATTTCTTATGACTATCTATTGAATTAGACAGTTGTTTGTTCAGAAATATGAAAATAATCTCTTAACATTAAAATCAATTAATTTATTACATCTCTGTGGAAAACCAACTTTTAATAAAATATTTTTGTAGTGGTGGAAATTAAAAACAACCACCAGAACCCAAAACAATAATCCCTAAAATGTGTTTGTCAGGACAGAGTAATAATTAACAACACAGCATAAATTAAACGTGGTCGTGAGAATCAGTGGGTCAGAGGTTAAAACACAGATGAGCTAAACGCAGTAAGTAGCTTTAAATTGGTTAGTCAAGCTGTGAAATTGAAAAAAGACAGCTAAGTCACAAAGACTTTAAAAAGCAGAGAAGATTATGGCCTCTTAAAAAACCTGCCTTTATTTAGTTGTGTAAACAAATGAATGTAAAGCTCTCTGTGATTAAAATCATACAGAAAGTTATAAACATATTTCTGATTGCAGGATCAGATAATGCAAACATGCTGTTTGTTGTCTTATCTGTTAGAAAGCAAAACTGGTTGTAAAATACATGAAGTGTCGGAGGATGAAGGAAGATAGAAAGTGTAAGCCCAGCAAGACTGAAAGCCTCGCTCCAGTCGGCTCTTCACTGCAGGCCTGACTGCAGCCCAATATGGTAAGAACTTAATGCCACCAGGGACCCAGCCCATTTAAATGCTCATGCTTCCTTTATCACAGGCACAAGTGGTGCAGAAAAATTGTTCGGGATTAATTCTGGAGGCCCTGCAACTACACACAGCCAGGATCAGTGCTTTTAGCTTCCTCTGAGGTGGCACTCTTAAAAAGTGGGGGGTTTTYGTGGATGCTTTTATAAATGGTGGGATGGGCCGTTTTATTGAAGCTTTGCCCTTTGTGTGGCTAGAGGGGGTGCCCAAGTTACTAATGCAACTTAATACGGTGGTATAAAACATAATAGCATACATGTACAAAGTGATAAGGGCATTAAGGCCTTTCTGGCACTCCCCCAAAAACTCAAGTTTTCACAGAGGTTCCCAAATGAAAAGCCTTTTATCGCCTCGTTGGCTCTGAACTGGGCTGTGCTGCTAGTATCAACTCCAAATACAGAGACGGCAGGATTTGGGAAGTCACTGTGAGATAGCAAGAAGGAAAAAGATGTAAGGAGGTTTTCATTTTCTGCTGCGTTTCTTTAAACACATCTGTTAACAACATAAAGACGAGAGGGAAGCAGGCATAAAGCTTCCTGGTGTACCACCAGTCAGAATAAATCACTCCAGATGATTCAAAACTGAGGAGGAACTGATAAAATTCTTAGACCTGACTGACCATTAAAGTTCAGTGGAATTCACTTTGAAAAATCATGGTGAAATCATTTTTATTCAGGTGCTTTTTATTTGTTTAAATGACCAGAATTTCCCACTAGTCAGTCAGAATGGATGTTTAAAATTACAGCAAAAGGCTAACTAAAACTAAAAGTAGCAAAAAAGCTAACTGTAGCTCACAGCGATGTTATGTTCAGGTTAATTTTTTTCAGGTTATTTACTCACAGGAAATGTAAACTAAAGAGAGTTGATGAGCGGTGCAGGATATTAACTGGATGACGTCCGGTAGACATCGTTTAGTTATCAAGCATAACTAGATTGTTGTATAATTTTGTTGTTTGTTAAGCTTGTAAAGCACTAATGAAAATATATAAGATCTATCAGTTTATTGTGTGTGATAGTTTCTGTTTTTATATCTGTATGAAGGTGTATTACAGCAAAGGCTGAAGCCATTTCTCTGTTTTGGAACACAAGGAACAAGGTGTGTTGTTCGCACAAAATTTAGCTTTCCATTGATGTTTTCCCTGTGTGTATGGTTTATGTGAAATGTACAAACTCTTGAGCTGAA